TCGGCTTCGCCGCCAATACACCTCCAAAGAGCTTGGGCCCAGCGCAGAGAAAGGCATTTCACTTTCTCCTCAGCGACTCGCATCAAAATGCACTTTAGTACGACAGCTCCGCCATTCCCAGTTTCCCCACCGACCCGCCACACGAAGGAGAGAAACAACTTGGGAGACCTAGACGTAGAAGTACGTCAGCTTCTCAATAAGCAGCTGCTCGCGCCTTTAACACGCGACGTCCTCAGCCCATGCAGGCGACGTTTCGGCAACGAAACCAGAGCCATTGTACTTAACATTCACAACCTGTTCATCCGTCAGCCTGCGAGCTTATTCCGACAAGAGAAGGGAGAATTAGGGGAAGTGACCGCCCGCCCGTGGACTGAACGTCCAGGCGTCGCTTTCCTTCATGTTTCAGTATTTGCCAACTTCACGGGACCCTCGTTCTGTCCGCTTACTGGCCCAGCTGTCCACACATCAATATTTGTGGGGTCTGAGGTTATCACTGCGGTAAAAACGTCGATGTCGGTCTTCTGGGTTGCAACGCCTCCCATCTTCAGTCACGTGGCGTCACAACCAGAGGGCTAGTACCAACACACTGATCTTTGCTATGCCTTTGTCATCTGGATCGCGTTCTGTTCGAACCTCGGTGTAGGCAACTAACGTCGTGTTGGGAAATATCACGAGAGAAAAAAAGTTTACATACCGGTACGCTACGTAACCATACCCAATTAAATCCAACTTCTTGCGAGAGCTGTTTTAATTACGACCGACTTCCTTGCGATAACTAGGTATTGAGTTTACAAGTAAATCTACACCACGAAAACATAAGGACATACGGAAATGAGGACGCTTCAATTCCCACATTACATTTCCAAAGGCCGCCATGTAATTTCTATGGGGAGGAAATCATCATTGTGCCTTGGTGTTCCTCAATGGCACGACCTTCAAGCCGAATTGCGTAAAAATCACTTTCGAGATTCAAGAAAGAGTCGCTAGTGTTCATTTCCCCGAATATTCCTCGTCTCCATGGCATTTCTCAGCAGACAAAGCGTGGTCGCTGTGCTGAAGTGTGATATCTTCGCCGTCCAAGGGTCTTGCCAGGCTACCTGTTTCCAGGTGCCAAAGGCTGGAAGGCCGGCGGGCCGTTGAGCTGGCGCGCGGGCAGGTACAAGAGACGAACCAGCATTATAATAGCTTTCTGTTCAACTTCGGCAATGCTCGTAGGTTCTCGCACTTATTCGGAACTGAAGGCTGGTATAATTTGCATCGAGTAATTACGAACGGTAATCGTTTTCAAGAACCTCTGGTCTCGATGGCTACAGTACCTCGGGTTTCAGTGCCCCCTGAAGAAGGACTGACAACGCACGAACGCAGCTGAATCTCATTAAAAAGTCAGAGGACAGTCCTAATTAATGAAAAGTGCTCATAACAAACAGATCGCTTTATGCATTGAACCACACAAGGTGTTCATACAGAAATTTGACAGGACTCCGTTAAATGTTTCTGATGGTGTTCGTAAAAAATACTGAGAAGACACGCGGAGATGTCGAAAGCACAGGCAAAGCTTCTTGTCTCTTGCGTCAGTAAATACGCAGAACAAGGCTTCGGCCAATCGCCTTCTCGAAGCTTGTAGGAAGGTTGTCTCGCCAGAGTGCGTCCCTCCGGAGCGCTGGCAACCCACACAGCATCACCGCTCAGAAGGCCAAGGAACGAGTTCCTTCATTACACCGGTCAGTCAAAAGTTGGGTTGGCGGACCGGCGACCAACTGCCGCTCCAGGACAGTTGAGTAGCCCGAGAAGCGTGGGCCTGTCGCGAAAAGAAACAGAATCCGGACTGAACCTTTACCGGACAGTGGTAACTATGTGTACCATTTGCTTTGACGACTGGTAACTCGGCTTGCCCACAGTGATTCTCACGATAAGAAGCAGCATCTCCTCCAAAAGCCATTAAAAGGCTTCATAGCCCTTGAATAGCCACGGTGGTCTAGCGGTTAGGACGCTGGCCTTGTAATCCTGGGGTCTCGGGTTCGATTCCCGGCGGTGCCCGAATTTATAACTTGTGTTGGGCAAGGCCGTGGTCTAGGCAACACGGAGTTTTCCTCCGTGGCATCCCAACAATTACTCCATTCACACACAGAAGAAGGCAATGGCAAACCACTTCTGGATCATCTGCCAAGAACGTATATGAACAGGTCCCAGTCCGAGAAGAGAAAAGGATGGAAGGATCCTGTTCATATGGACCTGTCGTCAGACAGAACACTGAATAAATATAAAATATCCCTTGAATACAATATACAAACGTAAAACATCGAGGAACACGTCGGTAGTCTACTTAATGATGTCATTCTCGCATTATGGCTGGAAATACTGAGAAAACCCACGAAAAACGCATTCGGCAACGAGATTGGAAATTCTCAGGGCGGTGAAGAAGTCGATGATGGTCTTCTGGGTCGTAACGTCACGAGAAATTACCAGCGTTTCGGAGGAACAAATTGCCTCCATCTTTAGGGCCGAGCATCTGACGATAAACAAGCGAGAAACACTTCCGTTCGAGAGAGATGGCCTCTGCGGTTGGAGGACGAATGGCGGAGACTTATTCAAATTAAAAGTCGGAGTCGTGGTCGTTCCTCGACAGGAATGAAAGGCAGAAGACCTAGATATCGCGGCGCAGCTGAGACCAGGGCCATGGGCAGAACTTTAGAAAAAGTTGCGAGAAACAGCGAAAGGCAGAGAAATACGCGCGTTCTACATTCTGAAACCGCCTCATCGCATTTTAGAGATTTCAACGACGTTTCCCTCTTCCCTTGAGACTTTGTAACCAAAATTCTGTGCGCATTTCTCGTGTCTTCCACCGAAGTTAAGGTAACCTCCCGCAGCACCAGGTGCCTTGAATTGCCCGCAGTTCAAATATTGCCCCGCGCATCTGCCACTGCGCAGACAAACACGTGACTAGACCACTGTCTCACAGAAGCCTGACTTCAGCTGCGTTGCTTTCAATTAGTAAGGAAAAAGTTGTCAGCGACACCCAGAAGACGCCAATGCCAGCGAGTTTCTTGCGACAGTCGCACTTCGTCGCAAGGTGACCTTGCTTCAAGACTGGCCTACATACTGCAGTTAATTGGGTCACTTCATTTCCCTTAAAGACCGCCTTCTACGGAAACATATCCCGAGCCAGATTAATCCAGTCCACACCACCTCAACTGTCTCCCACGTGGTATCTTTCTTCCCTTCAGGATTTTGAACTAAAACGTAAGTGCGTGCTACGCGTCCTCTCACCCAATCCTCCCTGAGTCGATCACCCTAACAGATTAACATTTAGCGACGATTACAAATTACGAAGCACCTCCCTGCAAACTCTCTTCATCCTCCAGTTACTTCCTGCCTCATTCAATCCACGCTCCTCCGTCCTCGCGAGATCGCAAAACCAGTTTAACGCCTTTTTCTCCAGGCCACATACGAGAAGTTAAAAGAGAATTACGAGAATTTTGTGAATGCAATCGTCTCGCAGCCAAGATCAGAACCCGGTACCTCCCGAATTCGAATGAGTCTGGTCTGCAGGTGTCGTCTGACACGCGAAGAAGCCAAGACGCGCGTTTAACCAGCAGTGAAATGTTTTTATACAATAAGAAATTCTGAGCAATGGACCGACCGTGACCTTGGATCTTAGCAGCGGCAAAGAATCCTGTACAGTCGTTTGCGTAAAAAAATCTCCCCACACGCACACCGTGCAATGAACGCACGATAACGAGGGTTTGCTATCGATCAGTCGGAGAACTGAAAATCTCGACGCAGTCGCAGAACATGCCGTCAGTTGTCAAACGTGATCTCTTACTTAGTGGAAGATCGTAAATCATAAGCGTCTGAAAAGACAACGCAAACAGAGTTGACTCTGGTACACGCCATGAAGACGCACGGGGGTGTGGAAAAAGTCTCTATAGACGTAAACACGTTAGAGTTCGCTCACATAAACCAGACACGAAAAGTTTACTAGGCTCTGGGCACACGCTGAGAGATCAAGACACATTTGGACTACTTTCGAAAAGTTTCGACAGCTGTCGACAAAACTGCGCAGGTTAAAAATGCTAAAGTGAGGTCACATGAGAGACTTGCTGTGGTCCGGACACATTCAGAGAAGCTCGGGCAGTTTCCGACAAGATTCCGCTGACATGAACAGCCTTCACATTCCAGAAGGTTAACACAGGACTCGACAAGCTACGACTAGTCTCTGCGGGGCTGAGCAGTCGCAGTTTATCTGATAACCTAATCTTGACGGTCTGGACATGTTCGTAGATGTTTCGGATTTGATCCGACAAGTTTCAGGAGGTTTGAAGAAGACTCTAGGGGTCTGAGCACGTTACAATGTGTTCATCTGCTACTGGAGAGGCTCAGACACTTTTCAAGACGTTCCAATAACTCTCATCAGTTCTCTGCAGAACGTACCCGCAGGTCGAGCCAGAGATATCACAGGATGTGTTGACTGACAGCGTTGTACCTGTGGATTCTATAAAGATCATCTCGCAGCAACTTACCCAGACCTCCCGGTCGTATCGGCCGCCAGGACACGTGCCACCGCCAAACCCCGTCTCCATTCTTGAAGTTCGCAACAGTGCGCCAGTGACAGTAGAGGCGCATCTGATGAGGAGATTCCTGTGACGCCGTCTCTGACCACGCGCAATACGCCCAGACCGACCAACGTCTTGTTGGGCACTGACGCCATCCAGCCCTGCCAACACCAATTGCACGTTTGCAGACTAGAGAACTCTCATATCTCGACAGCGAGGAAGTCCCTCTCATTGCTGCCAGGACATGAACTGGAGCTTTCAGGGCAACTACGTATAATACATTCAGGGTTTTTCTTGGTGTGCGCCGACTCTGAGTCATGTTACTGTTTACTAAAGACACAAAATTTCATGAAAATTAGTACACAAATTGTCAAAAACAGTTAATACTCCACTTCATAATGACTGATTGCGTCGAGAGTATTTAATAATTTGTTTCTGCCATAGCTGGGGCTAATAATGAATTGGAAGGGATCACTTAAATTAAGGCATTATTCTGGACACTGAAGAAAACAACAACAAATCTCAGTTGCTCTCCGAGCCCTTCCGAGCGCAAGGCACGAGTTCTGTCCTCTTGGCAATGACATTCCGCGTGGAGCCGTTGCTCTGCGTAATCTCACATTACTACAATCCACGATCCTGCCTCGCAGTATTATAATACTGATGATATTTAAACAATGTTACTCACCTCATTCCACTTCACAGCCCACAAAGTTGCTTCGCTGCAATGACTGCAATTCTGAAAGAAAAATGTAGAGACCACTTGAAGACTAGTTGACAGCAATTACTGTCACAATGATCAACATCACCACCTTCCTTATTCCAGAGATCAGGCAAACCCTGTGCAACCTTCAAGAAGATCACACTGTTTTCTTAATTATTTCTTCATATTGCTCGTTAATTAACTGTGTGCACTTGGAACATCTTTTCAGAAATATTATGATAATAAATAAGGGAAACTGGGTACTTCTATTAACCAACTACTGACTTCAAACATAAAAAGTCTACATATGTCACCATTTTGAAGAATATTAAACATAAATGTTGGGGAAAATGCTGGAGGAACTTCATTTCTGTTTATTTTTAAATATTAGTTTGACATTTCCCTGCAGAACCTGGGAAAACTCACCATCAAGTCAATTTCTCATCAGTAACTTGAAGCAGTCTCCTACACACAAAGCAGCCAGGATCACCATTACACTACACTGAAAATTAAAACAGGCATTCTGTAGTCATATAATTACATGATATGCTTTCCACCTGGAAGCACAGACCAATAAGTGGTTAACACACTCAACACTGATGATGTGTCGAGGCTTATATTTCATTAAGTGTGATTCAAGTGAAGTTCTTTCACTTCTATCTGTAAAATACCCAAAACATTTCTGTACAAACACACTTCATTTCCAACTCAAAGTCACATACTCTGAGAGAAGTAAAAAGGGGCCAACGGCCAAGCCTCTTTAACACAGAGTAAAGTGCAATTATGACGCTGTTGCTCGGAGATGAAGTGGCGATCAGGGTAGCCACTCAGAGTTGGTAAACACTACCGGACATTTCGCTTTCCTGCACTCACATGTCAATGTTCTAATTATAATGAAGACAAACTGGCCAAAATCCTAACCTAATGAACAATCTCCTCACACCATCAAAGTTAAGCATCAATACAGTTACTGTCACACTAAGTTCTTCCGTTCAGTGCCCCTCCCCCATCTCTCAACTTACATACACTGCAGTGTCTCACGAAATAACCGAATGACAATTGAGGAAGCAAAACTGTTCACCTTGAGTTCGATATTCTAACCACGAAATTTCAGAATGTCCTACGAAAGGAGTTAATACCTGGCACTACGAAGGTAAATATATTTCATCACACTGCATCCCACCAGTTCGCGTCACACCAACAACAGCGAAGCAGAAAAACATAAAGCAGAATACAAACACCAAAGACCGCGTGACACTTGCGCTTCCGAACTAAAATCAGGAATCGATTCTAGAAGTCACCAAAGTGACATCTAGTAACTAATCTCGTGAACTACGTGTTGCCCTGAAGGCTGGAACTTTCTGCGGGAAAAATGGGAGATATTCGGCTCGAAATAAAGTATTGTACAATACTCTGACAATACCCACGAAACTAGTCAGGATTATTAAAATATGTTTAAACGAAACATATAATAAAGCCCGTATAGGCAAACATTAGTCTGACACATTTCCTATTCAAAATGGTTTAAATCAAAGGGTCAACATTGCTTTAGAATATGCAATTAGGAAGGTCCAAGAACACCAAATGGAACTAAAATTTAATGGGACACATCAGCTCCCAGTCTATGCTGATGATGTAAATCTATTGGGGGATATAAATAAATACCATAAGGAAAAACACAGAAGCTCTTATTGATGCTAGTAACGAGGTTGGTCTAGATGTCTTGTCACCAGAATTCAGGGCAAAATCCTAACACAAGGATAGCCAATGGATCTTTCGAAAATGTGGCAAAGTTCAAAAAACTGGGAGCGACAGTAACAAATCAAAATTTGATTCATGAGGAACTTAAGAGCATATAATGATTCCTACCATTCTCTTCAGAAAATTTTGTATCTTCTGTTGTTTAAAAAATAAATATTAAAATATACAAAACTATAATGTTGCCTGTAGTTTTGTATGGGTGTGAAACTTTGTCTCTGACACTGAGGAGAATATTTGAACCCAAGAGGGATGAAGGAAGTTGCATAATGAGGAGCTTCATAAGTTGTACTCATAGCCAAATACAATTATACTTATCAGTCAACGAGGATGAGACCGGCAGGGCACGTAGCCTGCACGGGTGAGAAGACGTAAGACACGAAACTGAAATACAGAAGCTCTGTGGTTCGAATCCAAGCGGATTACTTGTGGTTGTGTAAGTTGGAGTCGCAGGAATACGATGTGGGGTGACGCAAAGAAATGAAGTTAGAAAGGGGTTTGTTTGGTTGCGTATCCTCTACCAAACCCCTATATACCCTAAAGGAACTGCACAGGGCGTTCGAGAGTGGGATATGGGTGCTGAAGGTTGAAGGGAAGGTAAAAATATTTACAAAATAAAAGTAAGGAGGCATTTGAAAGGTTAAGTCACCCGTCCCACAGTTCAATGACATGTTTTCATGAACTTCAGCTTGGACGACAAGAGAAATAATAGAAAATGCAGGGTAACCTTAGATCAAGAAGCTAAAAATCAGGATTTCACTGTGCATTTGTATACATTCACCCTAGTTCTCATTCTGCAAGATTTAATTCAATATCATCATTCTGTGCTTATCTGAGCACTACATGAAGGCAACTGAAGAGTTGGAAGTTAATCCTAAGAGCCAGCTTTTGCAGAGCTTTGTCCATCTGAGCACTACATGAAGGCAACTGAAGCGTTGGAAGTTAATCCTAAGAGCTTTGTCCGAGTAAGCGGCGATTTCTTTTTCCTTATGCAGTATTAATCAACTGATATTTGCAATTGAGGCACAGTGTCTTCTCTGAGGTTGGAACAGGACGTTTAGGTATTATTTAGATGAGCTGTGGGCTTCAAAGGGTTAACACATTTTTCATGCTTTAATTGTATTTTCATTCAAAACGATTTCTCTGTGTTATTAAATAGGTCAATTAAATTATTGTGTTCTGTGTAATATTGAGAATCATCTCACAAAGAACAATAATTTATAAATGAATATAACTTGTAGCTAATAAAACAAGGATACATTTTACATAACAGTCATCCTCCTAACCCCACACACTGAAGCAGGAGTAATAACTGTACGACGCACACATCACAGAAATCAAGAAAGGACATGAAATGATTTTAAGATATTTCATGAACATTCAGTAGCTCTTATGATGCCAATACAGCAAACAGTTAACGGTGGGACAGCAGAAGGAATGCGACATGAACGACAGTAATACTATTAAAAAGCAAACTAGGAATATGAAACTGATATCGCTGCAGCCAGGGCAAGAGCTGCTGCTGCTGCTGATAGTGGGCAGTGGAACATAACGGTGACACGAAGATTGCTGACCTCACATAACCTATAGCAAACAAATAATATTTTATTACCTGGGTGAGCATTAAATTTAAAACAAAACATTCTTCGAGATAAAGCGGGCAATTCTTTGACAAGCCAAGTACACAACAAACTTTTCAAAAAATATCCTGCCCCATAAAGTGACCGAGTTCAATATCTTCAAACAAAATTTTCCCTTCCCATAATGGTAAAAATAAACAACTGTGGTTTCTTAAGCTTAACAGAACATGACAAACATAAAATCATAACCTCACACATTTTCTGCCTTCCTTACTTTACCACCCCTTGTTGGCCATTTGCAGAGCTGCCTTTCTGCTCCGTCCGCAACCTCGGGATGGTGCCATGTGCCAAGGGATCTAAGAGTGCTGGCCAATAGGGAGTGACCACGATACTTAAATCAGATGTTTGTCGTCTTTAGACAAATTCCATTACGCATACCTACAGACCGCAGACAAGGCTCCCCTCCACGATGTCATCCTCTGCTGCCTGCCGCAAAGCCATGGTCACCGAGTTATCATAATGCCCGCTAGAGACAAGCCGCACAGTGGTCACACCGCAGAACACAGTCTGCACGGTGCTACCTGCGAACAAGACAAGAAACTGAACTTGTTTAACCTAGCAAAGACCTAATTTTCAGAAAGGACAAATACTGATCATTTTTCCAGGGTTGCCTCTTCAAGAAAGACATTTTTTGTTGATTTATGTAACAGATAATCAGAAATAATGATGGCTTATCATATTTAAAATGTAATTTTATTTGTATGATACAGTTGTCAATATTTAATGTCAAAATGTGTGCATTAACTGTTGGATTACATAATTAACTGATTCCAAAGCTGTTAAAATTAAAAATCAATCTACTGGTCTCCAAACAGTTTCTATGAGAGCAGAACATGGCTCACATCCATCTGAACTTTAACCTGCTACTGCAAACACTTCCGACGCAACGTGTCTGTATACTGCACTGACCTGGCTTCGAATCCATCCCACAGATGGAATCCACAACTGCAAGCTGTGAAGTGTCGAGGCCCTCTGAACCTCCCAGCTGCACGTAGTCAGACAACCCACGTTTCTGGCACTGCAACAAGGCACAGACACAAATGTACATCCTGCCTTCTGCACATAGAGGTATCAAAATTTTCAACAGACTGTACCATCAACTTTGACAAGCCTTTAAAATGCATTTTCCTAAAATGGGGCTTGAAGCTGCAGACTAGATTCAACTGGCTCAGGATGGTATCCGGTGGCCAGCACTTGTCGACACAGTAATAAACTTTCTGTTAGAAAGTCTGCAGCCCTCGTGGTAAATTGTAGAATCCTCCATTAATCTGTTTTGGTATGGTCCTTCGAGACAGCAAAATGCAAATTGCACCTCAGCCCTAGCTATTAAGGTGAGTCACTTGGTGTTAATGTTTACTTTGAACTAACTGCAAGGAGCAGAGTCCTTCTTCGAGAAGCTGAAAATTTCCCTCCAAATAAAGAAAATTCTCCCACCTGAGATTCACAAGCCTTGCTACTGCGCACTACCCTGCGCCACAGCCGATCTGTGACGTAAGCCCAAACTCTGGCCAATCAGCTGTATGTTGTCTTTCTCGACAGGGATAAACATTTGCGTGTACTGCTGTTCCATTATGAGACTGGTCCCAGTGAGGAAGGTGTCATCACGCACAAGAAAACACAAACTCGTGTTTTGATCTGAGCTGGAGGAACAGGCAAACGGAGAGAAGTGCGAGTTGCGGAGTCGCAGCAGAACAACAACTGACCCTGTGCATGGTGCCTGTCTCGAACTCCGTGCCCACCAGTCCCAGTCCTAGTCCCAGTCCCACGCTCAGGCTGAGGACCCTCAAGTTGGCCGGGAAGAGGGCAGTCAGGCTGCAGTTCAAGCGTCTCCCGTAGTTTCGCAGGGTGTACACCTCCGACGTGCCTTCCAGCAGGACGTTGCAAGCTGCAAGCAGAACGACTCGTTACGTTCATTCCACAGCTACGCGACTCGATTAAATGCGAGTTGCGTGGGTGAAGCGGAAATATCAAACTGGCTCTTTGTGTGGCGCTGTCCTAGGTTACAGCGAAGCGGTCAGATCAAATATTTTGATATTTTCGCGTGAGTCGCTGCGCTGGCCAGTAAGGCGCATGCGCTAGAAAGCTCTGACCGTGCAGTACACGGAAGGCGCATGCGCAGGAAGGCCGTGTGTTTCTCTCACGCAGGACACAACAAGCGATTCCCTTATGTCATACGACACCCCATGCTGCTTATGCAGCTCGCATAGCTCGCTTGTTATACAGATGATTAGTTCTGCGGGCCAATCAGCCCCTTCCTTCGCCTTTCCAATCTCATGTTGATTGTTTGTCCAAAAACCTGTGCCTCGCTTTAACCAGTTCAAACTACTACTGACACTACTCACGAAGTGTCCAGTCCTTTACTAACCAGAGGCACTGCCCTGTCCGGAGTAGAGCAGTCGCCTGAGTCTAGTGCCGAGGTCAATCAGAAGTTTCATACTCACGCGACGCGTTCCTGGGGAAGCGGGCGGTGAAGCTGAAGCCGTTGCCCCGGTGTGGCAGTCGGTACTGGACGACGGCCGCGTTCTGCGAGGACTGTAGCACCTGTTTGACCCTCCGCTGGCCGCAGAACTCGCGGTACCTCTGGCTCAGCGGCTTCGGGTGGTCGTCTGCACTGGGGAAGAACTGCCCGTTCAGCTCCCAGCCGTCCACGAACTGCAACGCCCAAAATTCTGTATGCATTCTTTGTTTTCCCCATCCCCAGCCAGTACGAGCCTCCTTCACCGTCCAGACAACAAAAAAAGTTCCGCCTTATCGTAATTTTCTCCCTTATCCACCTGAGATCCAAGCTCTTCCTGACACCTCGTTTTGAAATTCTTGCTACTTTTATTCTTACGCCTAAATGAAACCGGCTACATTAAGGTTTTGCATATCCTGTATCCGACGTTTCGGAAAGTAGGCAGCACCAGTGGCGAATGCTTCGGTCTTGGTAGCCAGACCACTGTAACTGAAGGAACATAAAAGAACCGTTTCACTTTTCATCTTCATCGTCGTCATGAAAAATACTCTCGTGGGAGACTTAATGTTGTAGAATTGCAATGGACTCGTCACTCACCGAGACCAGTCCGCCGCTCTGACAAGGGACGTCCAGGTAGTCGAAGTGGATCTCAACCCTCCGGTCCGGATCCGTGACAAAGTATACCCCGCAGACCGTGGCACCGTCTTCGGCCGCTTTGTGGAAGAACTGGCCCTCGGCTGAGGTCACTGTCATGCAGTCTGCATTATCGTAGAACACAAACACGATTAGAAACCGGATCAATTTCAGAAGAAATTCTCTCCCCACTGCGACCGGCGCACGAAACCGGGGGCGTTCGTTCCGTAAGGCAATTCACAAACCACGCCGGTCGCTCTGCGTCCTTAATCAAGAACGCGGTCTGAGTTTCACGGGACTGGCAATAAATCGATTAATTTCATCAGTCACTTCCCTTAAACGAAACAGAGTTCGACTATTTTTCAAGGAGGCTGACCCAGTGTGGGTTTGGTCGTGGGTGTCAAATGTGGGTGCTTGAAGGATTTATCGAGGGTCTGAAAGAAATGAAATCGTTCTCGCCTTCTGGAATTAGATTTCCGCTGTGCCTGACCTGAGAGCTTACTCGAATGAGTTTACGTGACGCTGTTCTCCCAGAAGCTTCTCGAAGGCCACGTCCCGCGGAAAATAACGTGGAAGTCCGAGGAAAGCGACGCCGCTCGTAAGACTGCGTCGAGGACAAATTACGAATGCGACAAGAACCTCCACTTGCCTTGCCATTCCGAAATAGAAGGAATCCGATGCTTCCGGGGCACGCAAGGAGGAGACTCCCCGCTGACAAGCTGACAGTCACCCAACTGGTGAAAACCCGTGTCCACAAGAGCCAGTACAGTCCACTCCACCTCACGCCCATTTCTCCACGAACAATGATTCCTATCATGAGCCAGCTGAATCCATTCCACAATCTCACGCCGTATTTATTCGATTTAACGTCTTACGAATTAAATATCAGTTTTCGTGTTTGCGATCTGCCTTACCGACATGCCCCAGGTCAGGTCACGCCGTTCACTCACCTCGTACGATGTGGTAAGGGGTCCGCCTGGCACGTGGCACGGAAGGAGATGTCCCGAGCGGTTCCGCGCCTCGAACCTGCAACACAGAGGTACCGGGGTGTGAGGCGACAGCGACGATACTTGCACGACGAGGGGCAACTTCCTTTGTGGAGAAGCTGATGATCGCTTAGCTGTCCAAAAAAAAAAGTTCACTACCGTCAACTTCTCAGCCTGCCGCTGGAACCCTTTCGAAGGCAGTTCTTTTAAATTAAAATAAACATTACCTCGTCACGATCTGCTCCTTTCCAGGTTTCCCAACTAAAATTACGTAAGCATTTCTCGCGTCCGCATGCGGGTCACATGGTTCGCCCATTCTCC